AATATGTAAAAAAATACTTACATTACCTCAGTTACTTGGCGGTAATGAAAGGTAACGAATATAATTTCTATATCTAATAAATAGGTAAATAGCGATTTGGTTATTGATCATATAAATATTAATTTTGAACCAAAAAAGAATTGTGACAGAAGAACAAAAAATGTAAATCTATATATATATATATATATATATATATATATATATATATATCTAAAAATCTATTTATATATATATATATATATATATGTATAGATTTACATTTTATATATATTAAACAAATATTTATTAAACAAAGTCGGGTTTGTTACAACACTTATAACTCAAGAACGGCTAGACCGATTTTGATGATCTTTGTTTTGTTGAATAGCAGAATAACTATTAAAACATCGGAAAAAATCACAAAAAAAAACCCTATTTAAAACGTACCTAGCGAAGAACCCGACCAAAGCGAGGGTGAGTCGCTAGTTATAACTATTTAAAAAAAATACATGATACTTAGGAAAGGTTGCATTAGTGTACTATAATGTTTCACTGGGAGGTATTAAAAGCCACTATTTCCTAGTGGTTTCACTAAGTCCGATTAACGGATATTGAAGCCTGGCAAATATATGTAAAACATTTTGTAGTAATGACTCTTTTTGTCGTTACATTCTAGCGATAGACTTAGGACTCGTCATTAAGCGAAAATTCCTAGCTCTACCTTTTTGTGCCAGTTTCTGCTCAGGTCTGACTTGTTTTCTTCTAAACTTACGATCTTTGCCTTTGACTTTTTACAATTATCTACTACTTTCTAGTACATTCACATCTCAAAAGGTTTAGCCAGTGTTAGCTATGTTATCGTACGAATAAGTTTTTTTCATAAAACACCGTTTAGGCTCAGTCGTTGTACAAAATATTTACAAATTATATACATAAATATTCCTAGTTTATCTATCTTTCTATTAGTGAACCGTGTCAAAATCTATTGCCTGGTTTAGAAGAAGTAAGCGGAGAAACATACAGACGACTTCGTTTTATACTATGTATAGATTACTCGTAATTAAAAATCTTTGATTTATTCAAATGTATCTAATATCTCATATTAAATATTGAGTTAGTACTAAAACTAATTTTAAACTAAGACGAACTTGATTTTCTTATAAAAGCAGATCCAATTAAATTTCTACCGTATTAGCGTAAACAGCAAACAAATTACACCTCGTAGCGCTTTCTAACTTGCTGAGTTGAGCTATAATATGATATCTATTTCTATGATCTGCACTCTTACGAGTAAGTAATTGAATACTTACTATCGGTTAGCTGCCGTTTAGTTAAGAAGATTAGATTATAATCTATAAGCATATAAAGGAAATTAAAATCGTCAACTGAAGGACCACGATAAATGTGATAGTGTGTTTGTCTTTCTTTCACATCGAAACGGCTTGGTGGATTAGCGTAACTTGTGTGGAGATAGTTGGAGGGCTGGAGAGGGACATAGGCTAATTTTTACTGCGGGAGATTATCTCTTTCCCATGGGAAAACATGTTAAAATACAATTCAAAAAAATATTTATGATCAGAATTACTTGAAACTTTATACTATGCATTTTCTTCAATACAATTAATTAAATACGTATTTCAGCATTTTTTGAAATAAATCCTATAAGGGGGTAAAATAGCGGATGAAAGTTTGTATGAAACTTACCATTTTAGAGTTTTTTTTGTAGTTTTAGCGCGAGCGAAGCCGCGGGTTCTGCTTGTAATTAATAAATATCTCTAATACAAAAGCATACTGAATGAAAAATTTAAATTAAAAATATACTAATGAACAAAACATATCCATTAGAGACTATTTTGCATATTACCGACCGATATTTTGATTTATATATTAATATAAACAAAATTTACCATAATTTATGATATGATCAATCGTTCCATAAATTTAACCAGTGGAATCAAACTAAAAGCTCTCTCCTTTCGAAGGGTTTGTTGATACTTGACACGTTATTGATCTCCTTATAAAGAAATTCCACTAAAGAATATAGTTTAAATTATTTCAAAGTAGGTACTTCGCGGTTACTATAAACAAGAGAATTTTAGCCATTTAATTTAAAAGCTGTCTCCAAATGAATGTTAAAATGTTAGAAACATATCTATCAAAGTTAAAAATAAACTAAATGTTGTTCTTATTTAAACTTGTTGGAAAGAAGCTAAGGGTATATCAACACCTCTCCTTTTTTAGATGTAGGGAACACTTATTTATTACTTCTCAACCGTCCTAAAATATTGGAACGTATTTTTTATTTATCATCGTGTTCCTTAAATGGACATCGAGCTTGACTCATCTGGTTCTTATAAACTTGGTTAATTTTTAAGTCATTCATTTACCAGATGAAAGGTTTTTTGATTAGTACATATTGTTTTCGTAATTAATTATATATTTTATTAATCATTTATTAAAAAATAATTTATTAATTAATTATATTAATCATTTATCTATAAATAATTAAGTAGTGATATGTAAAATAATGTCAAATTGCTTCTTTTGTAACTAAAAGCTAATCAGTACCTGAACTCTAAATGAATATTAGCGTAACTTGTAAGGAAAGTATGTACCTACATACGTACTGATACAGACTGCTAATCGATTTCATTTGGTTTCGCTGTAGTCGGATAAAAATTTATTTAGGCCTAATGAAGAAGCTTTTTGTCCAATCTACGTTAACAGTATATTTTAAAAGTAGAAATAGTTTTTTTTGTATGTTTGCACGCGATAATCTCTAGAACATAGTCTGATTTGATATTAAAGAAATATTCTATATTTTTTTATGGAAGGCTAATTAACATCACTACAATTTTTAGAAGCGGAGGATTATAATAAAAATAAACTACGAAGCTACAATAAAACAAATTTTATGCAAAATCAGAAATTCACACAATTTAGTGACGTGGGCAATATCTTAAATAGATCGTTCAATCTCGAGCTGGGTAAATTTAAATCTTAGTTATCTGATTTTAAAATCTAATCAAACGCTCCGTCCATTAAGATGTTACTTCAAAGGCAGACTAAAATTTTAAAATGATGAAACGACGTCTGCAAATATACTCGTACTTTTATTTGTAACAATATATTACTCTTATCTATACTAATATTATAAAGAGCCAGTTTATTTGTTTGTTTGTTTGAACATGTTAATCTCAGGAACTACTAACCCGATTTGAAAAATTCTTTTTGTATTACGTAGCCCGTTTATTGAGGAAGGCTTAGGATATATATCATCATGTTACTAGTTACTACCCAATGGAGCGGATCAGTAATCATATATGTCAACAAATCAGGCAAACTTCCATTCATTATTGTAACACTGATGTTTATATCGGAAGTTTGAACGCGGGCGAAGCCGCGAGTGCTACTACTAGTGAGGCTATACTAATTATTTTTAAGGACTAAAAAAAAGTCAATTATGTTATCTTAGTTTTTTTAATCAAAATAAGCAAACGTGTATGGCATTTTATTTTTTCTCTGTGTGTTAAATAAAACATTCAAGTCATTATAAACGAAACAAAAAGAAATTACGTAACTTATATATGCTTGATTAATCCGTAAATAATTCTGTACACTTCTTTCAATATTTATCTTTTTATTGTTTATTTTTATTTGATTGACAAGCGTTTTCCCGCGGTTTCGCCCGCATCGTTTTATTTTGTAGAATGTGTAGTTGTAGAGTCGTAGTGTTCTAATAAGATAACCCTACAGGTAACCAGCGCTAGATTTACACTAGGGGCACTCGGGGCTAGCGCCCTTTTTAGTGGCGGCAAAATTCAGAGGGTAACAAAAAAATTCTTCGTGTTATCGAAAATGTGTCTTTTTTTATTTAAAAAAATGATTAATTAGAAAAAACTAGAACATTTTTCGATAAAATGAAACCATTTATAAATTATTTCTTTGCATTTTTCAAAAAATTAATGATAAAAAAAAATAAACAAGATTTTGATAATATGGTGGCATTTTTTACTGTGCCCTGGGGCGGCGCTAAGGTTAATTCCGGCACTGCAGCTAACCTTCCTCAATAAATAAGCTGTAAAATGCAAAATGAATATTTTCAAATCGCACCGGTAGATCCAGAGATTATCGAGTTCAAACAAATTCTTCAGTTTTATAAATTAGTATAGAAGTATTTATAGATTTCTTAAATAGGTTCGAAGTACGGCTTCGATTTTTTTGAGCTTTTAAACGTTTTGAGTCAAAAATAATTTTAATATTTATTTATAGTGTAAGTACTTCTATTTATGACAAAATACTATTTGTGCGAGTTTTCCACAAAGCAATTTAATCCCCTATCTGCATTTCATCAAGACTTGACCTGAGTCGATCCGATCGTACATTTAGTCTGACCTACATTCCCAAAACAAATCTTTACAAATGTTTGGGAAATCTCTCTATAGCCATTATTTATGTAAAATAGTAAAATGTAAATTATTTCACTTTGCATAAACATTGTGCACAACTGGGGTTTGGGTTTCTTTTAAACAGTGTTAATTGACGTAATAAAACTATGAATAATTTAATAAAAAATGTGTTATAACATTAGCATTTGATTGAGCAAGTGTTTTCTTGGTGCTTTAGTATTATTTTGCGTAAATGTTATTCGTTTATAACTTATTGTAGGTACGTATACTAATCATAGCGAAAGTATTCTTATTATCTTGGTACTAATTTATAAAGATTTTCTATATCGAACAGCTTGTACAAGTTAATTTTATTTATAAAATTGTTAGAAATATATATATTTTGTTATGATTGTTATATGTTGGTAACGGTTTAAAGAAATAGAACGAGAAAACTTTACAGGGAATAAGTAATTGCACGCATTGTTCACGTATTAGAACTTGGCAGCCATACATTAGTCTACGGTCTAGGTTATCAAATAACTCTAGTTGCTAGTACAAAGGAACTACACACAAATCAATACCATACATAAAAATGCACAGCTGATCGCAAAGTAAATAGGAAACACTCACCATTTCTGCTGGTTATCGTCAGAACTACTAAAGTTAGAGATAGCAGCGTATCTGTAATACAAAATACAAACAAGCTAGTGCATTTAATTATTAAAATAAAGCATTAGTCCAAAACGTTTGTTAAGGAAACAGTTCGTGCTTAGTAGCGTCGAACGGTGAAATGAACAAAGGACTGGCATAAATAATCTAGACTCACCTTTGCGCGGTGCATTCGAGAACTTTCTTCTTCTCCCATCCTTCCTGTGTTTTAACCCACTCTTCACCAGGAGATCGCCAGTCTTTTGAGATAAAAGGCATTATTTTTAACACAAATACACAATAAACACACGTAACGACCAGCCGAGTACGACGCGAAACGAGAATTGGCGTTTTATCCGCGCGGGAAAGAGAAGTTTTGTTTAGAAAAAGATGGCTGCGCGCATGTCTCATGCAACTTGCAAGCGGTGAAACGTCACGAACAGCTGTTTTTCTGTTTATTATAATAATCTGTGTTCTGCGGTTATGTTACGCAATAATGTTTATTGTTACTCAATTGTCATTTCTTTACGAAATTCTAATTTTTACCTTTTATATTGACTTGAGAGTTTATTTAACATTTATTACTGACAATATGAATATAAATGCTAAGTACTAATCTACACCTATTAATTAATTACCTACATATGAGAAAATTAAGATACTTTCACTTGATTTTAGTTTTTAGTAGACATGTTTTAAACAGTGCCCGAACATGAAATGAATTTGTTCTATTTTAGTGGTTCTATGTTGGTTGATGATTGGTCAAATATGAGCACACTTGTACCCATAGTCCATACTAAGGATACGCAGATGTTCAAGTATAATTGTCTAGCATATCTATAACTAGTTTCAAAGCAGTTTTTATTGTAAGATCGAACATGAAGATTAAGTAGTAATAACATAATTTATATAATCATTTAGGTTAACTCTGTGCTATACTTATTGCACAATATATGGTGTCATGGTGGTGAAGTTTGAGACCCAGTAATCGGTGATAGCCCAAATAGCTGTTTTATTATCAGCATCATGAGTAGACATAACAAATTGAACAAAACAAACGAATTGAATTGACAAAACTAATGCATTAAATAATGCCTTAATAATAGTTCTCATATTACTAGTTATTATAGCTTTTTCTGCTGCGGCGTCTGGATTCACTTCAATACTGTCAAATATCAATCTTTTATCTTGTTGTTCCTGGTCTGTGCTGTCAATGTCCAGCTTCTTTAACTTGGAATCTGCTCATCAGTAATAAATAATAATAATTATTATTTAGTTATGAGCAAGTCAAAATAGTCTATTAAAATAGACTTTTTTTTTGTTGGTCCATCACGTTAAATTATTAAAATTAAGAAGAATACAAAGAGCAATTGTTTTGTTCTATTAAGATTTAAATTCCAAAGCTAAATGAACTTTGTTCAACTTGCGATGGTTTTGTTTAATGTTATGGTTTCATATTACGCGCGAGAATGTTACGTTTCGATACACGTACCTACTTGGATGTATTTTTAGAAATTAATACGACATTAAATAATGTGCTTAAACCTAAACAAAACTGCAATCGACGAAATAACTAAATAATGTTTATATCCATGCAAAATAACCAGGTTTCAAAATTTTTAACACTCCTAAACATCATCTAATCATTAGCGTATTATCAAAAAATTTTCTTTTCTGAGCATACGGAACGTTGCAATAGAATGATATCATAGTGAACGAATGATATTTGTATTAATCTGTGGTTGAAATTTATACAATGGTTCAAATGACGGTACTAAGAAGACCACGGTTTTTTTAAGTTTTGTAATACGAACAAATTTAGACCATGGTTCTACAGATAAGCCTGGACTTGATAGTACAGGTTTAAACTAAGGTTTATTTCGTTTTTTATAATAAGACAATTGGTGTTTATTATTCATCTCTGCTATCGGTTTAACTGATTTTGCCTAAAGAGTAGACTGCCATGGCATAGAGATAATGTGCTTTTTGCTAATGGTTATTGACTATGCAATATTACTTATTTACTACCATTGTCTTTTTCAAACGTTGCCTTATATTTAGACGACATGTTTGGCTCAGTTTGTAGCGACCCTACTTGCTGCGCCAGAGGTCGCGAGTTCCAGTCTCGCTGGGGGCATTGACTTGTCTTATGAGCACGAATGTTTATTGTTTTATACTCTATTCATGGGTGTTTATATTTGTAATATGTATGTATTTAAAGTTATATATGTGTATCAACTATCTGGTATCCATAACACAAGCCTCCACAACTTACTATGGAACTAGATGGTGCTGTGTGTTAATGTCCTAACATATTTATTTATTTATATTTAGTTTTTATTGGCCAAGACATGTAAATAATATGTTATATAATTCGGATGATTATTTCACCTTTTATTAAAATATAGGCTGGCTTTGTTTTTAGAAACAACATGACAAAGTGACAAATGTAACAGAATTTTTAATTCTACGCCTTTATTTTTGATCAGATGAAACTTTAAAATGTTAAATATCTTCGTAGTTTATTGAGATATCTTAAAAATATTTTTTTCATATGCTTAGCTTAAATATTGATTTTATTTCAAAAAATATATTGAAATATAAGATTAATAAAGTTGCAACGTGAGCAGAAACATTATTCAAGCGAAATCTTTACCTCTTTTCATTTATGACATTTTATATTTATCATCTGTAAGTTTTTTCTACTTAGTCTGTGATTAGTATTTGTCGTGTTTGAGGTTAAAAAAAATATTATCTTTCTCGTAATGGGAGACTCGACTAAAAATCCTAAAATCAACACTGGGGTACAAGATCCAGTGCTTAAAAAGGCAGAGTTGGATTACATGAAAATTATTGAAGAAAAGAACCGTGAACGTGTCCAGAAGTTGCAACAAATTTCAAAACGAAATAGATTTACTGGTTTAGCTATCGGTGCCGGAGTATTTAGTATTTATATGTATTCTATTTTTGCAGTTAAACAGGAAACCTTCCTTGACGATTTCGAAGAGCCCACAAAAATCCAGCAATAATGGCCGTAGCCAAAAAAGCTTTGCAAATAAGATTACCACCTCTACCCAGTATTAAAGATGTTATCCGACTATACAAATTACGTGCCCTTAAAGAACTGTCTCAGAATTTTCTCATGGAACCCAGACTGATTGATAAAATTGTAAAAGCTGCAGGTCATATAGAAAACAATGTTGTTTGTGAAGTTGGACCAGGGCCTGGTGGTATAACCAGGTCTATAATACAACAAGGACCTAGAAAAGTAATCCTAGTCGAGAAAGATCCACGATTTATTCCTACTTTAGAACTTATAGCTGATGCATGCAGAGATAAATTAGACGTTGATATAATAACTGGTGATATCTTAAAAACTAATATTGCTCATTTTATCCCTGAAGATGTTAAACGTGAATGGACAGATCTCCCTCCACCAGTGAACCTGATTGGTAATTTACCATTTAGTGTCTCAACAATATTAATGATAAGATGGCTAGAAATGATTTCAAGGAAAGAAGGTCCATGGTCATTTGGGCGTACTAGGATGACACTAACATTTCAAAAAGAAGTCGCTGAAAGAATGGCTGCACCTATTATGGATAAGCAAAGATGTAGATTGTCAGTAATGTGTCAAAACTGGTGTAATGTGAAATACAAATTTGATATTCCAGGAACAGCTTTTCTTCCAAAGCCTGAAGTAGATGTAGGAGTGGTTACACTGACACCTTTAAAACGGCCTATCATCAAGTTACCATTTAAGCTTGTAGAAAAAGTAATTCGGCAAATATTTTCTATGAGGCAAAAATATTCTATTAGAGGTGCTCAAACATTGTTTCCAGAGGAAGTGCGGGAAGAAATGGCTCTTAGAATGTATAAAATGGCAGATCTTGACCCAGTAACTAGGCCATTCCAAATAGCTAATGGTGAATTTGGCAGATTATGTGAAGCATATAATGAAATTATTCAAAAATATCCAGAATTTGAAAATTATGACAATAGGGCACCTAAGAAAACTACTAAACCTGTTGTAGAGGCAGAAATTTGATGTTTATGTTGTAAATAGTAGGTAAAATAAAACATTATTATTTAGTTTCAAAAGTTTTTTTATTAATTCAACAAAACAACACGGTAATCCACAACACTATGATATTTGGTTGCAAGATTCAAGTTTTATGATTTAAGGAAATACTATCATTATAAATTATCTTTACTTTTTTAAAAGCAAGATAAATTAACATACTTTGAATGGGTGTTACATATACATATATAATAAAATATATTAAAAATTATGTGGTAACAATATGTCCCAACATATTTGTTATACCAATATACATATTAGGAAAAATAAGATGAACTTAAACTCATGCCTTCCCTATAAAAGTAAAGAGATGACAAATTTTGCATCAAAATAAAAACTAGGTGAAATAAAACTTAAAAAGTTAAAAAAAAACAAGAACATTTTTTTTTTATTTTACAAACAATTGGTCAAATCATCCTCAGATGATGTTATTAAAATTTTTTTGCAAAACAGTCAGTTATTTACTCTTATTCACATCTTTCTTCTTTTTCAGCTAGTTGAGCTCGCCTTTGTTTGCTCTTCAATGCACGTTTATGTTTATGTGAATTCATATGAATCAAATACTCTTTGTCCCCAATAATGAGTCTCTCACAAACACTGCAGTAGTTGCTTGAATGACTATTTATATTTGTCTTTTCATCGGAAACATTAGATTTCAAACTCTCGTACTGACATTGGGTTTTATTTACAAAGCTTTCTATAATATGAATTGCTTTATATTTGACCTCATCGTCCCATTTGGTTAAGTCTGTCGTGTCCAATTCATATATTGGCGGGATCTGAAAATAAGCGACATCTATTATTATAATTTGTATTTAAATATTGTTTTTATTCGACGACAGATGGTGCTACTCTAAGTGCTGATATAGAGGTACTGAAGTTTTGACTATTTGTCGCTAGATGGCGCTTCTCAAAAGTAAAAACAATATACAACATAAAAAATATTAATAACAATTAAAGATTACTTGTTTTTGTTACTATTTAATTGTTTTTTTATAAATGTATAACGATAACATAATAGTAGATGAACCTTTATACAAAATATCGCTTAAAACGATGGCAATACAATTTGTAAAGTATTTACCACGTACATATAAATAAAAAACTCAAAATAATTTAGGATTACTGAAGAAATAATATTGTGTCTAAAATATATTTAAAAAATACAATGCTAACAAAAAAATAATAGAAAATCACCTCTCTAGTAGGATGTTCTAAAAACCTGCTTTTGACCATTTTGTTTTGTCGCCTTGCATATCTTCTCGTACCCATTTTCATATTAGAGATGCTTTCTTCTAGAAGCTTCTTGCCTTCTTCACTATCCTTCTTTTCCGGTGGTAACATCAAGTATTCGTGGAATTCTTTGAAACCAAGAGTTTGGAAGATGCCTTTTGTGTAGTCTGGCGGTCTGAAATAAAAATAATGATTCAAATTTAAAATAAATCTCTATGTAGTATGTAGGTAGTAGTACCTATACGTTACAGTTATATAAACATGTGACTCTTCGATCCATAACTGACAGAAAAATACGTCGATTCATTCAAGAACAACAAAGGAAAGATGGAACATTATGATGATTTTTTTTATATTTTAAACGTTTATAAAAACGGATAGGTTTATTTTTAACACTTATATTATTTAACATTCTATCATTTATAATATTAAAATTAGGATGTACTATACACAGATATAAAAATAGCTTAAAAATATTTATTCCACCTGTTCGGGTATAATTTTTAATATATGCATATACATATATATAGCTGTATACCTCAGACAGTATTTATTACATTTGCGAAGAAATCGGGTAAAATAAACAAATTGAGTTCATCCTAGTTTTACATCCTACAAAATATTTACTAGCACAAAATAGCTGTATAATTTAATGGTACTCTAATAGAACTATGTCACGTCTTAACCATGCTTGAGTTTACCATAAAAATTGTAAATATTTACTGGCAACACCTAATTATTACTTTTATTGCCTATGAAATTGACTATTTACAGATATAAAATCGTTTAAATATCCTATAATAAAGTTTATTTTCATTATAGTAAAGGACTTTTCAACCGACTTCAAAAAGGAGGAGGTTCTCAATTCGACTGTATTTTTTTTTTTTTTTTTTTTTTATGTTTGTTACCTCAGAACTTCGTCATTTATTAACCGATTTGGACAATTTTTGTTTTGTTTGAAAGGGTATACTTCCAGATTGGTCCCATTTAAATTTCAAAAAAAAATACTACCCCTAAGGGTGGAAAAATAGCTAATAATGAATTTAACCTACTTCTAATTGTCATATTGACTTGAAACTTTGCAAGTGTTTCTATTTCCATTGATAGTACAGTGGTTCGGTATTGTTGACCTGATCTGATGGCAAGGCCAGAAGGTGGATAGGTGGAACTCTTCAACGACTAATAGTAGATACTTTGAGTTTGGGCTTATTTTGTTTGGTTTGACAAGCCTAACACTTTAGAATTCTTACTTTTCTACTACTGTCTACACTAAAAAGGGAAAAATAAAAACTTTTTAACAAAAAAAATAAAAACCGACTTCAAACAAAAGCACTAAAAAGTAAAAAATAACTGATTGGTAGTTTTCATTTACTATACATACCTAATCAAATATTTTCGAAGTCGGTGTGCTTAGCTTTGTATGGGCTGGCACCGATTTCGAAAATATTTGATTAGGTATGTATTTAATAGGTAGGCTTTAATTACTTAGCCAAAGCACACCGACTTCGAAAATATTTGATTAGGTATGTATAGTAAATGAAAACTACCAATCAGTTATTTTTTACTTTTTAGTGCTTTTGTTTGAAGTCGGTTTTTATTTTTTTTGTTAAAAAGTTTTTATTCAAATATGTTTATGCTTAAGAAACCCCCGGTTTTCTTAGAATACGGGTCAATTAAAAAAGCAGTGTAATTTCGCATAGTGCTAGAGGATTTGCCAGGCGCGCTCGACCGTTTAGGTCACAAATTATATTTATTATTTACTAACAAATGATAATTTCATTTTATTTACAGCCTAAATAAGATTTCCATTTATATGGGACAGTTTTGCAATGGGAGCTCTCACTACTCACACACCAACGCAATCAAACGTTGGATATTCATATAATTAAGTTGAAAATTTGCATCGAATAATAAAAGTTTCATTAACTTTTGTTAAATTAAAATTTCCCAAACATTTATTGCTTAGCTCCTTTTTCACATATTATCTCTCTAAATACTTGTAAATATGGTAGATAAAAATTTACCAATACGGATTATTATTATCTACATTTATACTCGTATAGGTATAATATGTATCAATTTTTTTTTTAAATATACTTTATTCAAATAGTATATATAATTATAATTATATATTCTATGAGTATAATAGATTCTAATAGAATATATAATTATATTTTCAAAATTTATATTATATGTATTCAGACCTTTTTAACTTCCCACTGCTGGGCACGGGCCTCCTTTTAGTACGAGGGGAATCACTCCATAGTCCACCACGCTGGCCAAGTGCGGGTTGGCGGACTTCACATGTCTTTTGAAAACTTGCTAGGTTGTCTTAGACTTGCCTTACGATTTTTTCCTTTACTGAAAGGCAAGTGGCAATCATGCTGGAAATGATTTGCACATGAGGATAAAACAGGTGCTAGACCAGGGATTTGAACCCGCTTCACTCGGTTTCCCAAGCGAGCGCGTTACCACTGGAATACCACTGCCTTAAGATGTCGATTTATATCATCAATATAGTCATGAATTTGTTTAAGAGGGCTAGACCTATAAATTCACAATACGGTATTATAGTCATATATCGTCATTAAATATATTGTGACATTAACACACAGCACCATCTAGTTCCATGGTAAGCTACGAGGCCTGTGTTACGGATATCAGATAGTCGATACATTACACATATATAACTTTAAATATATACATATTATAAATAAACATCCACGACTGGATTATAAACATTCGTGCTTACACTAACGAACGCTCCCAGTGGGGCTCGAACTCGCGACCGCTGGCACAGCAAGTAGGGTCACTATAAACTGAGCCAAACGTGTCGTCATTATACCTACATTATTGTGCTAACAGGAACATCTCATAATACAATAAGTAGAAACATTTGTGCGTTAATACACAATTATTAACTCAATGTCGTCTAGACAAAAAAGTGTTTTCGCAACAGATTTCGTATCGATTTATAAAAAAAACCAATCGATTCTGAGAAAATCCCGATTCCGCCGTTACAGTTGATTTATTGTGCGTGTGGGCTTTCATTGCCGTTTAGACTGCAAGCTAGATATCTTATAAACAGTGTACAACATAAATACTGAAGATATTTTTAAAGTTTAATTACACTGTCGATGAAAGTTGTGGGGCAAAGACCTCTCTTCGCATAGAGGTGGACAATTAAAATTACATAATTGTATTTCAAAGTGGTCATTCTAAACGTTGAAAAATGGTGACAGTTGAAATTGCTTTAGAGTAATGTAAAAAAAAAACAATAATAACATTAAAATATTGTATTACAAATAGATTCCAGTTCATTAGATACAGGGGTCATCAATGTTCTTGAATAAGTTGATTGAATCATAAAATTGATTATTATCAATGGTTAATATGATAAAATTAAAAATTAAAAAAAGACCCCGACCATCTTGGACCGATTTTTGTCAAAACTTGCTAAGAACACTCCCGACTAATTCACCTTTTAAACAAAATAAAAATCAAAATTGGTTCATCCGTTCGGAAGCTAAGATGCCAGAGATAGACACACACACAGACACGTCAAACTTATAACACCCCTTCGATTTTGTCGATTTTGCGTCGGGGGTTGAAAAGTCAAAAATTACTAATAAATTAATATAAAACTAACAAATTACTAATAGAAAAAATTATCAAGTTCGAGTAGGACCACTATACAATAAATATATCAATCAATAAAATAGAACCTTGTTGGATGGTTGGAAGACTTATACTTGGCCAGGTCTAATTTCTTAAGTCTTTTTAATAGCTTTATACCTACTATTATGATATACTAGCATTGCCCGCGGCTTCGCCCGCGTTCAGATGACTGAAAACTAAATTCTTAGGTTTTACATATTAGTTAGTATAAATTGCAGTTTTTGTATTTTTTCTCAGAAATCAGACATTTTTCTGCGGTAAAAAGTATTCCACCATACCAAATTTCATCAAAATCCCTCCAGGGGTTTTTCTGTGATGCGGTAACAAACAGACAGATTAAAATTCTAAAAACTATGGATTCGGCCTCTGCATCGATAGTGTCTATTTCAAAAAGAAAATATTTAATGTACAGATTCGGCTTAGTTACAATTTATTATATGTATAGACAATGTATAGGAATTGGATGAGTGATAGTAGCATATTAACTCATCAACTGATTTCGATGTCAGTATCTTTTTTAGTTATACTTAAAGTACTTAGACTCTTTAATTTGTATTTACACGTTTAGGACGTATCTATAACAAAACTGCATTTTACATACATACATACATACATACATACATACATACATACATACATACATACATACATACATACATACATACATACGTATGGTAGAAGAATATTTAGTTTTAGTCCCAAAACCCATATTAATCTGCTTCATAATTTACTAGATAAGGCTAACAATACATACATTTTAAATCGCTCTTCAAGCTTTCTGACCAAGATAATCAAGTAACGTACGTCAAGCGTCACTTCACGTTGGCTATTCATATAGGATAATTTGCCACTCGTATAGCAAATTAGGAAGCAAAGGTAGAAACGTGTTAGAGTATTTAATATATCATGTTTATCTTTGGCTTACGAGTCTTCATATAATGTAAAGTATAACATTAGGATTTTAAAATAAAACACTAAAATGTTAAAAATTACTAAACGGGGGTTTTCATTTAGAATAGATACCTAATCATATATTTTCGAAGTCGGTGCCAGCTATGGGACCACCTGGGAAGTATACCTTTATACAAAAACCCTTTGAAAAAAATAAATATTTCCAAATCTGTTCAGGCGTCTTCGACTAATCGGTGAACACTAAACATACCTACATGAAAAAAAAAGTTTCCGACGAATTGAGAACCTCTTCCTTTTTGGAAGTCTGTTAACAAGTACTTATAGTACTTATAGTCGAGGGTTTTTAAATTTTTAGTTTAATTTTTATATATATATGTAAGCTTTAGATAGGAAACGAACTGAGCGTATTGTTATCCAGTATCCCCTCTCTCAATGACTTTGCAAAGTAATCGTTGCTGCGTGAGACGATCGTTAGACATTAAAATATACGCATAATTCCCTATTAAATTATAAAAAAAAACTATATTGATCTATCCATAACAATTAAATGAGTTGTTTTAATGTAAGTTTTGTTTTTTTGTTTTTTACATTTTTACAACAGACAGTAAAACAGAAAAAAGTGGTTCTAAAACAAAGTATAACATTATGTAACATTTTATGTTTTAAAAGTCCTTTATTGTCTTTCACATGTGATCGCTACTCCTATTAGTTCACATTTTATTGACGTGTAAATTGTACTTAATAAAATATTTCGTACATTTTTACGTACAGTCTTTTGAGATACCCATTTTGTTTTAACGAATATAAGGTTCTCACGGTATAGGTAAGACGTAGTTAAATTATTTATGGATTTTATACTGTAATCAAAGTTAATGTTCAGTAAATTTTAGTTATTTTAAGAGTTGACGGACATTGTAGACCATTTTTAATTAGTACTTTTTGTCAACTTACTCTTTGACATTAAACAAACTTGCTATGGCTACTTTGCAGGCAAAGTTATGTGGTACATTTACCATGGGGTAGCCTATCTATAACCATAAAATCTGATGGTGTTTCCTTCTCATGGTTTTAATTCCATGGAAATGTAAGTATGCTAAGAGCTACTCTAATAAGAAAGTATTAAAAAAATAGTAGTAAGTCAAAATCGTATAGCAAGTCATTAAATTTTACATCATTGCATTCAAATGCACTACTTACTCATTAGCTACGTACATATAATAATTTAAAACCCTGCACATTTGAGAGTCTGTAGACAATGGTTAATCAATTTAAAACTGGACTTTCACCGGGGGTTAAGATTCGGGTAAAAGTAGCTATTTTGATACTTTTAACGTGTGAGAGACGTTGCAGGCAAATCTACCTTATATGTACGAGTAATGTGACTGGTAGCTTTTCCTTGGTTTGTTTTGGTACACCCCTAGAAGTTACATGTTTTCCGACTTAATTCATATATATTATCACTAGCGACTCACCCTCGCTTCACTCGGGTTCGTCCCTAGCTTGCTTCCCAATACAAACGTTCATCCCCATTTTCACCCTCTTAATGGTTTATTTACGGAATAAAATGAATGAAAACCTCTTTATAATATTAGTATAGATTACGTTAGCTTATTATTTCATTTCAATTCAATTCATAGGAGATTCTAGATAATCCTACTACTATCCATCTACCTCTCTTACTATTGGCAAAAACCGTGTGATAATCTCAATTCAATTTTCTTGTTAATGGCTTTAAAGCATAGCAATTGACCACAACTTACTTCGTCAATGTCATAGAATGGAGAAGACCTGATAATCTGTACAGAACTTTTTGAGATTAGCCCGAGCAAACAAATTCATTTCAGATTTAATATTATATAGGTTGATTCCCCATACAAACTTTCATTCCCATTTTCACCCTCTTACGGGATAGTTTCCGGGAAAAAAAGTATCCTATGTCTTTCCCCGGGTCTCAAACTATCTCCTTAGCAAATTTCATCTAAATCGGTTTAGTAGATCCAGAGATTACCTCCTACAACGTCACAAACTCTCAATTCACAAACTTTACCTCTTTATAATATTAGTATAGATGTAGTGTAGATATATTCTATATATCAAAGATGTCATTTGCGATGGTGCTGTGTATGACCAGTAATGCAAGGACCAGTATCGTAGAGTCCCCTCGTTGGTTCGTCTAGGTCTTAGGGCTTCAAGTAAAGCTCTTATTGAGGTCAGGGAACACAAACACTACGCACGGTTGAAGTTGGTTTAATGAATAAATCGCCACAAGAGTGAAGGCGTATAAATATTGATAGATGCGCTAGATACGTCTGTTAATAACTTTCATATAAGTATTTGCCTTACTTTCGATGTTTAAATAATAAACCCCTTTTGTTGTTTTAGTTAGTCTTACCAATAGAAAAACGCTCTTTTCTTTAAGTCGATGACGTTATTTCCTCGTCGTTTGAAAAACCTGTCTATAAAATCACTGTTCACAAAAATTGAATTTTTAATAATATTCTTGTAAGAGTAAAACGATGCATTTTTACCCTCTAAGAATTCTGTTCAAAGATCCTTTGTAAGGATGATGAAATATGGCATAGGTATATATATAATAAAGTTTTAAAATAGAAGATAGAAATAAGTAGTTTCCACCTATGGAATCTATACTGAAAACTAAAATAGCAGTTACGCGCTGTAGGTGGCATTATAACATTATTGACTTAATTACCATGTTTTACAATTTTAACCCTTTTTTTATAATTTCTTCTTATAAATATTATATTGTCATTTCCAGGATATTCCTTATATGACAACTTTATATGTACGGTGGTAGCAATAGAGTGGACTGCGGTCGTTACTGGCTACCGTGTGCGTAGCACTACTATAGTCGGAAAAAACCTTCTTGATGCTTGAGTATAGGTTAATATTCATTAAATTAATTTATTCATAATCATGCTACTATTGCGAAAGTTTGTGTGTGCGTGTATGTTTGTACATTCTCGCTGAAAGGGTTAGATGAATTTAGGAGATAGGCGTTTAGAGACGAACCAGCGAAGCGAGGGTAACTCGCTTATTCATACTAAAATAATTTTACTGTGGTAATAATTACGTCGTATTTGGGATTGGCACTCCAATGCAGCTGGACGTAAGTTCGATGTAAGTATAAATATGTTATTTCTGAGTAGAGTAAGATTTTTATCTTTTTTCACAAAAAACGATGTAAAGTGTAAAGGTATTTAACACTAATGTGTGCTCGCTATTACACCGAGACAATATTATTATGACAAAAACAGTGACAAAAAATGTTCTGGAATAAATATACTAGACAAAAATAGAAAATTACGTGCATTCTCTTATTTATCTATTTTACTCAATTAAATGTGTAAAACGAACAAGTGAGGTAAGCATATTTATACATGAAATATAATATTTTATATCTATTTAACGCATAAACGAATATAAAGAAAAATCACAGGTTTGTTATTTAGATATTTCAATAATATTTTCCAGGATTAAGGACAACCGTCATAGGAATAGAACACATGAAACCTGAGCGCACAGTGAACCGCAGTATGGCAGATGCATCGCGGCCATTGCCCATAGCCGCCATCTTGCTTTTTTTTTTTTATTTATCTTATTTTGTTTTTATTTGTAAATACGGTTAGGTTTTATATGACATAAATATTTAAATGTAAATATTAATATATAATTTTAAATTTTATTTTATTATTAAAAATAATATTATTCTTTTAATAAGAAAGATGAAAAAAAATACATCTTATAATGACTTTCAGTGAAATACCGTATTTGTAAATAATACGGATTCGAATAAAAAAAGAATACGAATTTGCGACTGAATATTTTTTACTAATTTTTATTTAATGTATATGTATTTAGTTTTTAGAATATCAGTTCATTTATTCATTCAGTACTTACGGATTTTTTGTAAAGGCTGAATAGCTATTAACGCATGCTTAAATTAATGACTACAAAAAATCTACTACAATATTATTACACCATGAAAACGACCACACGTGACGAAAGTCGGTTAAGAAGGATTTTTTGTGACTACAACAGTATTTACAATTTGATATCGATTCTTATTTTAACCAATGAAATCGATTAATCATTACGTTTAATCGTTTTAATTTCACGGATAATTTGCGCCGATCGACCTTTGCTTTGTTTCGAATAAATTAAGGCTCTATCCACTGTATACATGCTTTTTATAAATTTTATAGCTTTACTGTCTGAGACATACAAGATCGGGATGGACTTGACAACTAAAGGGTTGTAACCTTTTAAACTTTAATGGGTAGCCGGTTCAAATTTTCACAAATTACATAAATATGTATGTATGTGTTATACTTAAAATAGGTTTAAGAACAAGTTACCTTACTGGCATAGCGTTAGATGTTTCAACTCCTATATAATATTTAGATTTATTCTATTGTTAAACATCGTAAAACAAATATATTGCGCAGTTGAATGAGACCTTAGTTCGCGAGACCGTCTCGCACTTGACGAATTCTTTAGTTTTAATTGTCCGATGTTATTAATATTATTTATCTTACTTCTATAACATTTTATTCTGAACCATCTTTAGTTTTTATGTCACTTTATACATAAAATGGAGACAAAATGTATTTGGTAGTCTTCCTTTCCTTTTAAGCTTTCGTAAATAGTCTTTATTATTGTTATTAAGGACGTAACTTAGAAGCTCATAAGACTGTTTCAGAGCTTATGTAACTAGACATTACATCTTACATTGAGATTACATACACGTTTCGTCAGTTTTATTCATATCTGACGCTCTCTTTTTTACCATTGGTAAGAGGACAGTAAGACTTTGAACAACAATAAAAAAAGAAAGAAAATGTATAACTAAAGTTACAATTACAGTAAACTATTTTTTATAATTTGTTTCATAATTAGATATACTCATGTTAAGGATTTCACTCAATATTCGAATTTATTTGTTAAAACACAAACAAATAAATTATTTATTGTATGTTCTATAACCATATGGACTAAAAAAATACCCGACTGAAAAATCTTTTTTTTTTAAAACATTCGAATGCACTCACTTGCCATCTTCTATCCTCTGTTTATTGTGCCTGTCGTGAAAGTTCAGGAGTTCATCGATCAAGCCTTCTTCAAGCATGGAGTCGACCCTCGCGTTGAGGCGTGCGTCATGTACCGTCTGAAATGAACAACAAGATATTAAATGTTTCGCCGTTATTTGACGTCTTGATATCTTTGATGCTGTGGCTTAAAAAGGAATTTTGATGGGAAAGTGACATCTTCTAAAGTAATTGTACGTAGGTATGTATGTACGTATCTCCAGGCTATCATTCAATTCTTAATTTTGAACATCTCAGTTTTTACCAATATACTATATCAAATAACCAGTATCGGGACATTATAGAAACCATTGGATATTTTACTGAAACCTATTGTTACGTTCTATGAGTTTGGGGATCGGAAATTAAAGCACGTCTTAATACTTTCTTAGAATTACGCGAATATTTGACATTTTAAATAAAACTATCTTTTCGGATTTTGTCGCGGATTTATTTGTATTTTTGTTTCCCGACGTTTCGAATGCTTTACAGCAATCATGGTCACGGGAGAGACTGTCACAGTCTTTCCAAATCTGCGACAAAATCCGAAAAGATAGTTTTATTTAAAGCACGTCTTTTGCACTATCGATGTTTTATTACTCCTGATTAACGAGAGTGACTTTTCGAGATTCACTAACACGCGCAGTATATAAGCAGTTCTGGTTAAAATCAGTCACTGGACATTAATTTCCACCACTAGAACACTTCCACTATAGCTTCACTTAATTTTTCTTTACCTTTAACTTTTTTCGTATATCTTCACTTAACTTCGAAATACAAAACCTTTCTAGTCATTACGAATGTTTTATTCCTCTCTCACTCTTACACGCGGCAATTTATAATTAACTGTTCTTGTCTAAATTCAAGTAATTTCTACGGATCTCTCGAAATGTTATTGACAACTGTCTTAGGATGCATAAAGCATGCTCCAGACGTGTCTTTTTAATTATTATTTTGATGTAATGACCTTACACACTCTCCATTACACGACACTGTTTATGTCAGTCTCCGACTCAAAAACTATTACTCCATGCAAAATTCACAGCAGTCAATTGCACAGTAAAAAAGTTACCATAATAAACTATCACACGTTCGCATCTACAATATTAGTAAATATTTCCATCGGGGATTGATACTCCGGAAGAGGATATCGCGACAGTTCTGAAGTTTGTGACAAGTGATAAGCTTTTCCCTTTTACGTGATTGATAATATTTTATCTTTATATCTAGATTTCTCGCATTTTTAATCAGAGAACGAAGTCTAATATCTATTTTAGTAAAACTATTCGATTTGCGTGCAAAAAGATAGACGGATAAAAAATTTCTCGTATAATTAGAATTGCAGAGACAGACCGACAAAAAACGTATTTAGTTACACAATAAATCACTTTTTACCATTGCTAAGCCACTGTTGCATTATTATTACGTAAAAACCATATGAGTCGAATCTGTACATATTAAATATTTTTTTGGAAAATCTTATTGAAATAGTCATTATTATCGATATAGAGGTCGAATCTATAGTTTTTAGAGTTTTTGTCTGTCTGGAAACGCATCACAAGAAAACCACCGGACAGATTTTGATGAGGTATGATGATAGCTGGTCAACATATAGGATGCTTTTTACTGCAGGAAATTATTCGTACCTCATCTCTGAGAAATCTATACTAAACGTTAAAACGTAACTAGGGACGAATCTGAGTGGAGCATTGGTGAGTTTCTAATAAATAAATAAATATGTTGGGACATTAACACACAGCACCATCTAGTTCCATGGTAAGCTACGAGACTTGTGTTATGGATACCAGATAGTTGATACACTATACATATATAACTTTAAATACATACATATTATAAAAATAATTTGTATGTATTTAAATCTTATTTTAAGTTTCTTTTTACATACTAATGTATAATATTTCAAATATACCACCTACATCAATATAAATGACATGCGATAACATTCTTTGACCAATTTTATATTCAAACAGCATTTCTCTAATTAAAAAGCTGAAAGCTCGCTTACTAATTATACTCATTCACATTGCTTTGACAAGAATTTTTAAGATCACATCGTGTATGGAGATGGGAAATTCTCACAGTCAAGGATACGATTTCATGCATAGTTTACCTATTAAAGGTACGGTTTGAGAGGAGGTTTTCGTCGGTAAATGGTAATTACTACGTTATTATGGTAATCCATACTTAATATTATAAATGTGAAAGTGTGTTTGTTTGTTTGTTTGTTTGTATGTTTTTTTTTGACGTCGAAACGGAGTGACGGATTGGCGTGATTTTTGGTGTGAAAAAAGTTGGGAGAGTTGGAGAGTGATATAGGCAACTTATATCGCGGGAGACCATTTCATTCCCACGGGAAAACACGTCATAATACAATCCAAAAATTTATTTCTGATCAGAATACTTGAAACTTGGTATTAATGCTGTTTAATACAATTAAATAAAAACGTGTTTTAGCATTTTTCGAAATTCATTCTCTAAGGGGGTAAATTAGGGGGTGAAAGTTTGTATGAAACCTAGGTACCCACTTATTAAAAGATTTTTTGTAATTTTACCGCGAGCGAAGCCGCGGGTTCTGCTAGTCCTTATAAAATGAGGACAATGCTAATTATTAAGGGCAAGTGATGCAAAGTCGCTACAATAATTACGGCGTCGACTATTCATTGTATTAACACATAATAAACATTACTAAATAAAAAGAAAAAAAAATGAATAAAATAAGTGAGAAAATAAAATAGAAGATTATTATAGTATAAATATTACATTGAAATAATATAGTGTTGCGTAAAAACAAGTTATTATATATAATTATAGGCGCCTAGGTTTATTATGTACGTGACTAGACGTTCGCAATATCTATATACAATATACATATATTCTATAATAATTTGATATTTTATTCTGTCTGTTTTACTTTGTTTCTGCTTCATTGAGCGCAAACATAAGCACAGTCAAGCATGTACGGCTGTAGATTGGAAGTCCTAAGTTCGAGTTTCGGTCGAGCCAAGTATAATCATAGGATTTTTTTGTCAAGAAATTCTCAGTAAAAAGTAAAGACCCGGAATTGGGAAGTTGGTGGTGTTTCACCCCCGTTCTTTAGAGAGAATTAAAGCCGTCGGTCCTGCACCTGCACCTTAACTCTCACCGGTCGTGCCAAAGTATCGTGCCATCGGACTTTGAGAGTAAAAGAAAAGAAATAGAGCGTGCACTTGTGTCTGTGCATACACTTGTGCTCTATAATATCTCCTGCGCAGTTGGCTAGTTTCAGTGAGATTGGCTGTTGTGATAGAAATTGGTCAGAAGGATATTGTTCGTGCACACAATTTTAATAGTTTGGTCACTAGCGACCATGGTCGAGTTCGGTCTCGCCAAGTCCGCCGGCAGGGTAACAATTTTTGACATGTCTTGCACTTGCATTCTAGTCTTTAAATTTTAATAAAAACAAAATATCAAATATTGCATATAGTAATATATGTATTGTATTAAATTACGCTTTTATTTATATAAAAAGCGACATTTTTAAATAACAAATGTCAGGAACTATGATGTTAATGATTATAATTATCATGTTTGAATGAGAAATGATATTGCGAAAAAAATATTTATGCAATTTTAATTTAATTTTTAATTATATGATCAAAATACATAATATAATATACATATATAAACATTGATTATTTACACACAGATTGATTTAAAAGTTATCCGTTATCTGGCGCTGTTATAATCTAGTACATTGTGTTATACACTTTGTTGCTTACATTACTACCGGATATTTTATAACATGGTATCTTGTAAGCGGTCAGTAAAATATTTGCATTCAGCAGGTACATATTTGGGGCAACCCTTGGAGTATATGTATGTATAAATTTATATACACACAATTTTATTGCTCGTCACATTGATACCTTGTTTAGTACAGGTATTCGTTTAGTTTAGTCACTTATGTACTTAATACCTGGGCGACCTGAGTTCTTTTTTGTTATATCGTATTTTTTAGAAAAAAAAACTAAAAACTTTATAAATACAAAAAAAAAAACAAAAAAAAGTTAAAACTTTGTATCCGACCGGGATTTGAACCCGGACGCTTGTGATTGTCAATATTGTGCCTTGGTCGCTTGACTACGATGCTTATGCCCACCCGTGCGAAATTACCGGCCATATTTTTTATTTGTATAACATAAAGCCAAAGAGTTTATTTTGTACATACTCGTAGATTGAACGCGGGTGTAGCCGCGGGTTCTGGTAGTCATATATAAAAATATAGTTGAAGTATGTGTCTGTACTTTCAAAATAGTTGCCTCAGCCGTGAAATATTTGTCTGTGTGTTTGTACACGCTAAACTCTATATATAAACATAGTGACAATGTAGATTTTCGGTACGTACTGTATGAAATTTGGATAGTCGAGAGTTTGAAGTAAAGCTCACGCATGTACGAGTAAAGTTGCGGATAACAGTTAGCTTAGCTCTAACTTACAAAGTTAAACTAATTAACTATGCACTAAAGAATAGTGATAAATTTCATTAACTTTTGCAATCTCTTGAAAATTAATCTTGCGAAATAGATAATGTTTGGATATTGCAAAATAAATTAAAGTGATTTAATATAGGAGTCAACATAGAAATCATCACTAACATCTTACATGCGGTTAAATATACAGAAAATCAATATGTTAAAATAAATATCATGTTTGAGACATACAACTTACTAAGTAAATACAACACCACTATAACATTTGTCAGACATTTCCCATCATTACAGGGAATGCTTCACTAAACAGCATAAAACAAAGGTCTTTGATGTGAACAACTATACGTTAGACCATTCCTTTATTATCTGTTGTGCACTTATTGTTTTAAGAAAATGATGTAATTATTATAAACATATCCACTTTCTCGTGAAAGTCTCGTTAAAGACCCTCTTTTTTTTTTAAATAAAAAGTTGGAGTAGAAATGTTACTAGGACCAGATTAGCCATAACACAAACACGCGGATACAAACAGGCAGATAAAAAAATATTTTTTTATTTTTTTATTTGATACTTTGCACGGATGTGATCAATGTAGGTTAGATATTTTGCAATGATATATATAATAATCCTTCAATTATCTTCAAAGACTATTGATTAAAAATGAATAAAGACATTTAGATATTATAAAGTTATTAAATGATGCACGCAAAGGTAAAAGTAATTATTTTTATTCATTAAGCAGGTGAGTGAAGGTCGACCTTACTTCGGATCTTAGACTAATAGTTATGACCTGAGCGACTCGCTTGTTGCATGTATAATGTTAGTTTTATGCTATAGTCTAGTCATATTTAAATAGCGAATAGCTAGTAATAAAAATACATGCTCGTGTATGTTTGTACGTCGATAAAGATAGCCTACTTGTGAAATTCATGATATAACCAACCTCCATGGTATGTATGAGTATGTATGTATTTAGTCCTTTTTTAACGTCCCACTGCTGGGCGAGGGCCTCTTTTAATACGAGGAGGATTAGATCATAGTCCACAACCCTGACCAAGTGCGGGTTTTCGAACTTCACAAGGCTTTCAAGAATTTGTTAGTTAGGTACTCTCAGACATGCTTATCCTCCTCTTGATAATCTTCACGATATTTTTCTTCACCGTAAGACAAATGGTAATTAATTTGGAAATGATTCGCACATAAAAATATCAGAGGTATGAGACCCGGGATTTGAATCCACTTCACTCAGTTACCCAAGCGAGCGCGTTACACTGGGCTACCACTGTCTATAACACACCTCCATTATGAATTTCAAATCCGTTAAGCGTAAAAGATGAACTTACTTATTCACATAGCTTTCACGTTTATGATAAATATTAGTAGGTATGACATAATATGTACATATGTATAATAAAATTAATACATATAATAAAATTGTAACTAAGCCGAATCTGTACATTAAATATTTTTTGGAAAATCTTATTGAAATAGACATTATTATCGATTCAGAGGCTGAATCTATAGTTTATAGAATTTTTGTCTGTCTGTCTGTCTGTTACCGCATCACGAGAAAACCACAGGACAGATTTTGATGAAATTTGGTATAATGATATCTGGTTATCCGGATTAACATATAGGATACTTTTTACTGCGGAAAAATATCTCATACCTGAGAAATCTATACTAAACGTTAAAACGTAACTAGGGACGAACCCGATCAGAGCGAGTGTGAGTCGCTAGTGTTAAAATAAGCTTTATTTGATGTCGTCTTTACGAACTTGAAGAACCACTACGAACAAATACACACTTAGTATGATGTTTTACATTTACATGCATATAGATAATACAAAATGTTTAACTCAGGTCCAGTTAAACTCATGGCATAATGTGCCACAATATTTATTAACTTAACCTCTTTAGGTTATTATATAAATATCTAAACAACCTTATTGTTCTTGCGACTTCAAGTTACAAAGTAAGTTGTTTTACACGTGCAAGACTTAGGCTTTTATTGTTACTATTGCAGTTATTCTATTTCATTAATATTCATATTATGAAGATATATCTATATCTATAAATAAAAATGAATGTTGCTAAGCGCAAAACTCGAGAACAGCTCGACCAATTCAGCTATTTTTTCGTATGTTTCTTAAGATACACGGAAAGTGTTATATAAAGAGAAAAAATATAAAATAAGGTAACTATATATGTATATAAAAAAAAGTGGCTGGACTATATATATATATATATGGATAAAGCTGGCTAGTAACTATTTATATCTATTTAAAACGTACCTAGCGACTATAATAAAGCCGCTAGTCTATAATAATTATTGATGTACAATTGTATGTAAATGGTGCTTAAAACTAGATTATTTATACCTATACGCGTAGCGTAGTTAGTTCTTGAATTGTGTTGTTAGTTCTTAAAGTACTTAATATTATAGTTGATTATAATGACAGTGGGTATTCAATATTCATAAAATACACAATTTTAATAGTAAGTACGTATATACATCTATGCAATTTTCTGGAATTTGATCGTTTCTCTTCGAAACTTGCTAGGTTCTCTCTAGGACATGCAGCTATCCTCACGATGTTTTCCTTCACCGTAAGACAAGTGTAGTAATCGCAATAATAAAATAATAGTTAAAAGTTTTAGTTAGGTAGCTCTATAACAAAAATGTAGGATGACTTAAACATTACTAGTAATACCTACTTCAATATCCACTCCCATTCAGTACCTACTAAGTAAAACGAGGCAAATGATAAAACGAACCTCTCCGAAATAGTTTCTGATTAGAACCTCAATGTCAATCACATGCTTTTAAAAATATGTTCAAATTAAGTGAATACAAAATCTTACAAATCTTCATCGAAAATTCTTCGAGATCATGTGTTTTGCTAAATTATTCCTCCCCGAGTTCCTCGTCTGTTTCGCATACCAATGCACGATTGCCGAATAAAAGCAATTACTCGAACGTTGACCCGCAGTGCATAGACTAATTTTAATTCTATCTGTTGGTCGATACTTATATTATTAATGTTGTAAAATTAAATATATTATTTAAAATACAACTGTTAAACAGCTCTGTACTCGGAGGCCCTTAAAAAGACCTGAACGCTCTTTACGCGATATATAACAATATAATGAAATAATAATAATAATAATTTTTATTTATTACTAGCATTGCCCGCGGCTCCGCCCCGTTCAGATGACCAATAGCCAAATTATTAGGTTTTACATATTAGTATACTCTTACATTGCAGTTTTTGTATTTTTTCTCTTAAATGAGATATTTTCTCGCGGTAAAAAGTATCCTATATCAACATATAGGGTCAACACCCGGATAACCAGCTACCATCATACCAAATTTCATTAAAATACCTCCAGTGGTTTTTCCGTGATGGAGTAACAGACAGACAGACAGACAGACAGACAAAAATTCTAAAAACTATAGATTCGGCCCCTGTATCGATAATAATGTCTATTTCAATGAGATTTTCTAAAAAATATTTAATGTACAGATTCGGCTTAGTTACAATTTTATTATATGTATAGAAAAGTAAGTATAAGCGTATGGAAACTACAGAGATAACCTTAAGTATCGCGCTTGTTCGTAAAAACAAGTGAAGCGAGTTCAAACAGCAGCTCTCCTCTCATCTCTGAAATTCTTTCGAGAATCATTTACGTGGTGATTACCACTTGCGTTATGATGACGCAAAAGGTATGTGTCTTTGTACAAGAGAATCTATTTACCTAGTTTTCGAAAGGTATGTGTATCTCTATTAACCTGTACTTGGCAAGTGTGTTGGAATTGGTTTGATTCACTCGCATTGAAGGGAAACTTGTGTCATGTTGTGGAACGTTAAAACGAACATGCCGGTTCTCTTTGAACATCTCTATGGAAATAAGTAATTTTATAATTAATAGTAGCCCAGTGGT